TTAGATTCCTGAACAATTTGATGGACACAATGAAAATTCACTGTCTTTGGCACACCCAATCACAGTGCCTGAAGGAAAGCAGTTCTAACCCTTTCCAAAACAAGTGCTCCATCCAGGGTATTGGGGTTAGCCTCATAACTGGGCACCAGGACAGCCTGGGCGGCTGGCCAGGCACCCAGTGGGTGGCCAGCCTATACATCTAGCTCTCTTGCAGCCGTGTAAACGTCAGTAGCTGCTTTAAGCACTTGACATTTCTCTTCTGGTGATAAGAAGGCTGACAGAAGAGTGAAAAGGTCTGGGATGGTAGGCTTATGAATAGAAACGATGTGGCAATCCTTTTCTCCATTTGAATAAATCACTGGTGTAAAAGGGGTGTGAATAAAAGCCAGTTGGTCTAAGAGGGGCAAGGAGATTAGGGTCTTGCCCCTGTAGTGAAGCAACAAAAACATTGGGGCAGTCAGTTCTGTAGACAAGTCCTCTCCTAGTGTGTGATGGGCTGCTCACAGCTGAAGGAGCCAGCGCTGGCAGCGGTGAAGCTGCCAGAGGCTCTTGAGGAATTGGCTGAGGAGCAGCTGATGCGGGGGGAGAAGGAGGAGCAGTTGGAGAGAGATATGGAGGTGGAAATTCTTCCTCCTCTTCCATTTTATACTTTAGCTTTGTTTCTGTATCCCACTCAGCTCTTGGCCACAGGAAAAAAAGTTTTACAGGGTTGGTTTTTAGTCTACATAAATCTTGAATGTCTGGGTGAAGATAGAGGTTGAAGAAAAAATTGGCGTAAACCTCTTCTTCAAGTCGGCCAACTGAAGTCAGGAAATTGACAAAAGTATTTATAAACTCTTCATCAACAGTGCCCTCTGGTGGCCAAAATCCTACATTTGGGCCGATAAAATAAATAGGCCAGATGGTTGTGCAGAGGGTTCTTAATTTATCCTTTTTAAAATCCACTTCCACTACGACTTTGGGTTTTAACATCCCAATGTTGAATTACACATTGTAAAGGACTATAACGTTTGCCACTTTTTTTTCTGTGCAGCTGTACTAATTAGACGGCTGTTATTATTTCCCATGGTGTCGCCTAGAGGATTTCTCAGGCCTTTCCATCGCCTCGGGGTGTGGCCAGTCACCCTCCCTAATATGAATCCCTCCTCTATTATACAATGTATTCCAACAAGCACTCAGTCTTTCGCTTCAGACCATTCCGGCCACGCCCACTTCACATGGGTAAGCAATGGAACCATGGTCAGGTCCTACTGCACTCACTTCTCAGGCAAATCCCTAGTGGAAATTTCCTGCGTCTCACCCACGTAGTCACAAGGCGACACTCCCCACCTAATAAAACAATACTCACTGGCCTCTCTGGTTTCCCAGATCTGTCTTTATACAACGGATATGAGAAGTTTCGATTTTCACATTCAGGTTCAGCTGGAGCAGAGTCTGCCAATGGTGGCCAGAACAAGGTCACTGGAAAACCTCTCAGATGCACGCTTGACATTGATGAATGGTCCCCGTTGGTTTCCTCCATCCACTGTAGTGAAGGCGTGACTAAACGCAGTCCATCCCAAGGGATTCCGCCCTAGGGTCCCTGTTCGGGTGCCAGAAAATGTGAGGCACTCAATGTTACCCAAGTTTCAGAGAGCCAAACAAAACTTGAGATGAGACTTCTGTAAAAATTAACAGATCTATATGGCCAATACACAACCGGATGGCTCAATCAACACCGTGGCAAGAGTGTTGAAAGAAACCACAGCTTGCAAAGCAAACATCAGAGGTTTTATAGAAAGGTACAGGTTTAAAAAAATTCAAATCAGATAGTACATCCTGTCATGCTGTGATGGAATGGAATTATGAAGGCCAGACTCAGGGAGAAAAACATTTTCTTCCATCTCCTGAGGAGCGGGGGAGATACAAGAGGATGAGACTGGCACCTCCCTGAGGAATTCACAACGTTGTGGCTGGCGTTACTTGGGAGCTGGGGTTTCAGTCTGGGAAGAATCTTGCTAGAGGTTGTAGCTAATAAACATAGCTGGATTGAATTTACATGGTGTCTTGGAGTTCTTTGGGCTAGGCCTGACATCAATCTCCAGCAGGAAAGAAGAAAAGCTTTGCAAGGAAGGAGGGCTAGAGATTGTGTCTGCATTCTCACCACGTCCTGATGAGGCTGAAACAGGGTTGGATCCTCTGCAGTTCCACACATCTTAGGAGGGTGAGTGAACCAGGACATCCTCTTAAGCTTCATTCTGTTGGATATTTGCAAGATCTGCAGCTTTAACAGTATTAACTATGGAGTTAACAAGAGATTGTTTTTGGCTGTGCACATCATTGAATCAGGTGGCAAACTCTGTATAAGAGAAGTCATCTTCTTCTTACTTGTTCTCCTGCTTTTCTGCTTTGACCTTTTTAGGCTCACTGCTTCTTCCCTGCTGTCTTGGTATATTTGTATTATATTATTTATATTCTTTGTTGTCACTTTTATATTGCTGAAGATATATTTTATGCTTATGTTTTCTCTTTTGCATATTTTAAATAGAGGTAAATGTTGACATTTATATTTCTCTTCTTCTCTTGATCTCATTACCCAACACGTTCCTTCAAGCCCTGTGCTTTGTGCGAACTCAGCTGCTGCTGTTGGGGGATGTGTTTGGGCTTAGGGAATGTTGTCTGAACCAGCCTGGGTGTCCTGGTGTGACTTGGCTCTTAAAAGCAAACCCTGAAGAAAGGGAAGTAGAGCATCCCAAGCCAGGCTCATTTTACTGGTGTTGCATTTTATCTAAACTGAACTTTGGTGGTTTGTTAAGCTGTTTGGGGTTTGGCATGTTGTGTGAATCCCGCTTGTAAGGAAATGTAGATACGGGGTTTTAAAAAGGCAGCCCTTCCTTTTGAGAAAAAGAAAAGGAAAATGCTCCAAAATGCATTTATTGGGTATTCCAAGTCCTTGATGGAAGTCATCCCCCTATTTTGCACCACACAGACACAGATAAACACAGGGCTGTTGCCAGATTCGTTTACCCTCAGGCAACACCAGCCAGTCAGGGGAAGTCTCCTGGTCACTCTGTGGACGCGCTTCGGCAAAGAGGTCCTGTCTCTCCAAGGAGAGGAGCCTCGAGCGAAGCTTTTTGTCCAATGTTCTTCATTTCACGGATGAGGAAGTAGCTATAGGAAAAATGGAATTGTTTCCATTTTGTCACATTGTCAGGCAAGCGTGCTTGGTTCCATGTTACATACTACCTTCCCATAATGAGCTTAGCATGTTCTATGTTTTCTGAAATCTCCACCTAAGGGGTGTGTGTTTCACTATGCTAATTAACTTTTGGGTGACAACTAGGTCAACTGGTGGACTCACAATTGTGGTTTTTGAACATCTCAAAACCTTATCTTCCCCTCCCCAGAGCACCCTCTCTGCCAAGTACCCACAGCAGCCAAACCTTTCCCTTGTATGTATCATCCTCTTGCAGCTTAGTAGTATGCAACCCTCAAGAGGTAAGATTGAGGAATGCCAATCAGCTGCCTGACCCTCAGTTCCTATCTGCTCAATGCCACCCCAGTCCTCTACCAGCTCAGAAAAATGGTGCCCTCCATGGGGATGAGTGTTGTTCAATGGTGAAATATATCACTTTCTAATTCCTGGAATTTCTTTTCTTTCCCATCTCAGACACACAACCTGGAAGCC